AGATCGCTGGCGAGGCTGGAAGCGGAGCTGTGGGACTTAATGTTTGCCCTGCTGGATTCTGGACTTGCGTTTGTCCCATTCCTCTGTGTCCCCTTTGGAACTCTGGGAATGGAAATGTCTGTCCTGGGCCATTGAATGTTGGAAGCGTTTAACTTTGTTTTCATTTGTACAGCAGCTTGCAGCTAAGAGTTTGCCTTACATCTCAGAGCAGACTCGGGTCTTAGACTTTTCACCAATGCTGAAACTGTTAGGACTTTGGCAGCTCTTGGAGACAGACCAAACGCCTTTTGCATAAAGGGATGAGCATGAGTTTTGGGGGCCAACGGTGGAACATTATGGCTTGTGTCTAGATGTCCCCCAGAGCCTGTGAATGAGGGGGAGCTTGTTTGGAGGTGGCTGGATCTAGACAGTGCTATGCTGGAGTAGATGCCTGGTGCAGTGCTAGGCCTGAGGGCCCTAGGGTTGGGGATGTGAGCCGTGCCTCCCTAAGTAGTCTGCGGAAGAGAAAAGGGGCCAGGAGATGCTGTGAAGGCCCCTTGCTGCTTTTGCTGTCTTCCACCCCATGGACTGTTGCCCCTCTGCCCTGTGCCACCCTGCCTTGGAGCCAGGCAGTTATGGACTGAAACCCCTACACATTTTAAGCTAAATAAACCTTTTCCCCCTTTGGGTGTCACGTATTTTTCTCGGCAAAGAGAAAAATAAGACAATTGGCTATTAAAATTGGGGATTAAATTCATCTCTGAGGGAAAACATTCCAGGTTGAAGAATAGATACGTTTTTATTTATACGATATTTATAGCACTGTACTACGAGGAAATTCAAAAGCTAAGTAACTTTTGTCAAACCATATCCATCATCCATCTGTTATAGGAGCAAAATCAAAACAGTGTAGATCCAGGACACTGATCATCAAGTCCTGAATCTCAAAGAAACGAAATATATTCTGTCTGTCATTTTTCTTTCTCTTTCATCTTCTTGACTTTTCTGAAAATTCTGAAGATCAAGACATAGAGATGGAAAACATATCTAAGGTCAACAAGGCTTAAGAAGGTATAAGATTTTGAAAGTTATTTTTAGGAGGTCAGATACAGTGTTCATATTGAAAAAAATCTGGACAAGATGTCTAGAAATACGTCTTCGGACGCACCTTCAACTTTTATTAACGAGGCTTCCGGACATGACCAAATAAGCCCGACCCGGGCGGCTGGACTGGGAAGGGCGCTAATTCCAACCGCGCGTGGGCGCCCACCCGGGGGTCAGCGGCGGGCGTCGGGGCTCAGCGCGCCGCCCGCTTCCTCTGCAGCGCCCTCTCCAGGTCGGACATGAAGTCCTGCTCGGCGCCCCGGCTCGGGCTGCGCCGCCGGGGGGGCGCGGGCGGCCGCTCGCGG